AGGGGGGCCCCCGTGGGGGCCCCCACTGAACCCCTCGAGCTGAAGCTGCGCTCGCACTGCTGGGAATATCGAAGCGAGTGAAGGCGGTACCCACGGCAGCAGCACTTGTGAGGGGCCTATAGAAACTCCATCAGCCCAGCCCCCACCGCCTCCTGCTGTCTCCTCTGATGCAGCAACCCCACCACCAATAACAACTCCTAGCAGCAGAAACAGCAGCAACAGCAGAAGCTGCTGCAGCTGCTGCTGCTGCAGTACGAAAGAAAAACGCAGCCTAGATGCTGCACATGAAAACAACGACAACCCACCACGTCCAACTGAACAGACAGAGCCCGCAGAGCGAGCAAACTTTGATGCTGCAGCAGAGTGCTTCAGCAGCTGCTGCTGCTGCTGCTGATGCCTCCAGCGCTGCCTCCCCTCCCCTGTTTCCGCTGCTGCCACGGGGGCCCCCATGGTGGCAGACGTCTATGGAGCTGCAGCAGCAGCAGCAGCAGCAGCAGCGAGAAGCAAAGCGGGCACCGAGGGGGCCGAACTGCGCATGCTGCAGGGCCTAGGGGAGGCCAGGCGGCTGCAGGTCTTACACCCCGCCAGGTGTTGATAGAGGAAGAAGAGAACAGAGAAAAGGGAGGAGGATGGAGGCAGCAGATGCAGAAGAAGTGAAATCTATTAACAACGCCCACACACCCCGCATCAGAAACCAACAGACTCTGCTATACAGAGTCTACAGCGGGGACACACCCGCTAGGGCGTTGCCTCGATTTGGTGTCGGTCCCGGTCAGACAGGGCGCCTCGAAAGCAGACAACTTATATAGAACATCCCTCTTTTGTACTGAAAATATAATAAACAAATGCCAGAGGAAGAAGACGGAACCAGCGGGCATGCGAGGGGTCCTATAGGCCCTGCACTTTCCGCGCTCCTTCAGGCTCGTCCCATCATCTACTCACACAGGCCGGGCTCACAACACTATTCAGCATTTTGCCACNGCTCCTTCAGGCTCGTCCCATCATCTACTCACACAGGCCGGGCTCACAACACTATTCAGCATTTTGCCACCTTAAACGAGCAAAACCCCAAGAAATTGTTATACTGTTGCGCCACCACAGCAGGAACCCCCCACCCGGAACTTGCATGCGACTGCGGGGGGCAACCCCACACCACGTCGAGAACAATCATCGCTTTATTTGTCACACTATGATGCATATTTCAATTTTAATAAACTCCACCGAAATAGTTGCTACATGTTCTCTTGTATAACGCGCTGTCTTTGTATGGATTCCTTCGATTCATAGTTCAGGAGTCTTGGCTGCCGACCACTGGGGGGATACCCAGGTATACCCTGGCCCATTCAAGTTAGATCCATATTCAACACGGGCAGAATATACCTAAATCGTCTATGCATATTTCCAGAGTCACCTCAGCTTTTGCTAGCTAGGGTTCATCCTAGTTCATCCGCTGTCAAGCGCCTTACATTCACACTAGCGGCACCTTCTGTGCTCTGAATTTGAACGCCCGACCAACGGCCGTACTTTGACTTGAATTAACACAACGCACAATCAACGAGTGGAATGCTCGTGCAAACCCGCTTGCAACTGATACTGCTTAACCCGTGCGTATTCCTCAAGACGAGTTGACGCTTAAAGTTGCTGATGTTCTACCGTGGCCGCTGTGCCGGTATTGTGATTCGTCGCAGAAGCATACAAAATTGCCTACAGGCATTCAACATAGCAACCAGGCATAAGCACACACTTTGTTCTGGAGCGCAGTCAAGCCCCATGATGTACTTCCGAGATCCTTGATTCATGAACACTACGGGGATGAAGCTTCAGGTATTGCATTTCTCGTTGGAATGCCTTTCTGGTTCGTTTTGAACAGCTAGATGTGCATGATGGTCTGGTGGCGACAACGGAAACCAGGGACGTGATAGCTCTTATCTGCACCACCACCGCGGAGACGCAGGTAGGCGTCTCCACAGTGTTCCATGTGAACGATGAATCATGATTTGCGCTCGTGAGGAGAGATAAAATGAGAAATGTTCCAGTTGTATAGGGGGGCCGCCGCGATTTCCGGCCCTGTAGATGAAGCCGTCCCAGAAGATGTTCACAGTTATTTTTTCCTTAACACGTAGTGAATGCAGAGAGCAATTGGGTTCCAATGTAGATATTTTCATCGTATTCAGCGCATGCACACTCAATCCCCGTTAAGGAGGCTGATCTTGTATGCTACGTGCTTTTTCTCGGAGTATAGGCCACTTTAGTCGCTTGTGGATCCCCCTTGCTTGCTTACGCTTGGCTGGCCAGACGTTTTCACATAGGCATCTCTTGAGTTAGCGACGGGTTTGGCTATCTTGGACAATATATAGTTTGTTTCCTTCGTGGACAGTAGGAATCTGCATGTCGCTCAGTCTTGGTTGGCTAAAATTGTGAGCTTTCCTATCGTCGTACTGCTTGAGTTCAGCGATGTGTCGCCCCGTTGATGCCGCTACATTTGGGCGAACAAGGATGTCGGCACCAAGCAAAGCTGTGTTTGGGGAGGTATCTGAATCAAGCGCATTTGCTGTTTCCTTTGTGTGAGTGTTCAGTTACCCAGTTGCAACTGGAATATCGCTATTGCTTGCCTAACACAGCTAGGGGGGTATTCTGACTACAGGCAGGCCCCTAAAAAAATCTATTTAGACTTCATGAGAATTCACGGCTCTACAACACCGTGCTCTTCAGATTATTTGCCAAACGAGGTGGTGGTGTATAATCTGAATGTTTGCCAAAGTGTTCGCCTAAAGGCGAAGGTCCACAGCTTCTGGGCGAGGTGTGGGTCCCAAAAGTTTGCTGTGACATAGATAAAGCATGAGACTGGTGCATCAAAGTACGCATATAAAAAGGTGAATACCTTGCTTCCTTTATGGACTGTTCAAGTCTAGTTGTGGTGAAGTAGAACATGAGGAAAACTCCGACCATGATGAGTGCAGCGAAAAAGGCAATTGCGCGACGATCGCCACGGAACCTATTGGAGAAACGCTTATAAAGTGTTTTGGGATGTTGGGGGGAAAGTTTGTTTTTCTTACTGTTCTTCGGACTCCTCCAACCGTGCAAGCTCGGCAGTCAGAGCTGCAATATCAACTGGTGCGGGAACATCAGCAAATGATGCAGTGGAATCCTTCTTCTGCAGATAAGTTCATGAAGTAAAGGAAGAGAAGAAACTATTGTTCAAGTGCTTACAACGGCCAAAGGAGCCAACGAGGATTTGACTTCGGCAGCGNAAGAGAAGAAACTATTGTTCAAGTGCTTACAACGGCCAAAGGAGCCAACGAGGATTTGACTTCGGCAGCGTACGCCACCTTGGCTTCATCAACCCATTTAGGGACGTTAGGAATGCTATTCGCGCCGATGGCGGAAAGCGTTGCAACAGCAACTGCTGTACACAGAAAAAGTGCCGACTTCATCTTCGTAGAAACTGTTCTGTAACTGCGACCCAATGTGCGGCAAATTATCAAATTCTGGCTGGCCCGCAGATCAGCAAGTGCAGAAACTGGCTTGCGGTGTATGGACAGCTCCTCCACGGTGTTCACACAGTTCTGACTGTCACTTTTTGTTTTTCTGAACTTCTCTACGTGAAACCTCGGATCGAAACCTCGGATCGATCGTGCAATGAGCAGGAAGATAAGGATCACTGCTTTATTGGCTCTTCTCGCAATGTACCATGGGCAGGCGGCCACAGTAGCTGCAGTTGCTGCTCATGAAAAGCAAACCCAAGTGGGTAGCTTTCTTGTTAAACACAAAGTTGCACGAGCTAATATAGTTGCGAATAGATGGCACAAGGCATAGGCGACGTGGCTGACCAAATGAGATATGGCGTTACAGGCCTGGTACGCCATGAATTCTCGAGCTGTACAATTGCTGCCTCAACTCCAAAACTCAGACGGTAGAAGTTGACCCTGCCGACGAGGAAGAAGACGATGGTACTCCCCCATATAGAACATCCGAAAAGGGCCTNTAGAAGTTGACCCTGCCGACGAGGAAGAAGACGATGGTACTCCCCCATATAGAACATCCGAAAAGGGCCTCCCGTACGCAATTACGCACGTGTAGGGTTCCCTGGGTTTCCGGGAGGCGGTTTGTGGTCCTACGATTCGCTGTTGGGGTCACCCTCAAACACAAATCCTGAAGTAAGGAAACTACTTCACTACCTGCAATCCTGGCATTCACATCGTCATATAGGAATTTTCTGCTGCTGAGGTAATCAGTCCACTGAGTAGTGGAACGCAGATACCTTTAACAAGTAGCCAAATTTAGGCAAATGCATTTCTACCCCAAGAATTCCCCACGACAGTGCAAGTGAGTCGAGTCGGCCGGTGTCTCTCGGTACATGGCGTAATATTTCAAGGCAATTTCCCCCCTTGGAAACAGGAGTCATCACCTAACGCGCTCCGCTTTCTCCAGCAGTTGTAACCTATATCGTGCGGGAATTGCCTGGGGTGTGCCACCTATCAATGTTTGGCAAAGCTAAGCTAAGTGAGGTTGTACGTGCCTTCAACTAGGCTAAACAAGCAAACGCCAACACCCCAATCGGTGGCACTTTGTCTTCACTAGTTAGCAGAAACACTACCAAGACTGCGAAAAAAGTGCATGACCTCAGTGCTTCCCTAGGCTGAAGACGAACAAAATTTCAATGTTTTCACGGTCATACAAAATCGCTTGCGAGAGTCTGTAGGTTTCCGGCTCGTGCGAATCTGCATCATATCTATTCTTTCTAAAGTCCACCGAAAACCATTTTTCGCACACTTAAAAGGTTATTCCGTCCCGGAGCAGAGCTATCAAAGCTGGTGCACTGCATTCAACTAGGTAGTCTTATTTTATTCGCAAAAAAGTGCACGATGCATTCGGGGTTTGCGGAACTAAGAAATGAGATGAAGCTGTAGGGCACTTGCCACCGTTATGTTCTCAATATCGCGGAAATCCAAACTATGTCTTGGGCGTCTAGAAGTATCGCTTGAATGCTCTGTCCAGATAGTCCATGCAAATCAGTGTGATCATCGCATGCGGTGCGATTCTCACGTAGTACGTAGGGTAACCTGTATAGAATGCGGTGATACCCTCTGTCCGAGTGATCTTCACTGCGGCGTCCAGTACACCTTTGTATGGCAACTCTCCCGTTACCGGATCAGGGCGCATTTTTTGCAGGCTGTACAGAACAAAACATCAGGCTTGTGAAAGCAACTAATTCAGAAGCATGGATGGAAAGCACTGTAGAACGAGCTGTGATATTTAAAAGGAAAAGTTGAAATGGATCGGCTACAACCGTGAGAATTGATGCAGCTCACCGTGTCTTTAAGAAGTCGAATGGAAGCGAAAATGTCACTGCAAAGAAACCCGATATAGCGCTTGCTGTTAGTGTCGTCGCCCATCCATTACCCAGTGTGGGAGCAAGCATCTCCTTGCACTGGTCGTTCGTTGCTAACATTCCTGCAACAATTGCAATTCACACAAGGCCTAGAGTAGTATATTTCTGACGAACTATTCATGCAAATGAGTGTCTATCTCGGTCAGAAAGAAGTCTGAAACAGCCGTGCGTACCCATATTCAGCGACATAGCTCGCAGAACAGTGGGAAAGCTGCCTCTCCAAANCTGAAACAGCCGTGCGTACCCATATTCAGCGACATAGCTCGCAGAACAGTGGGAAAGCTGCCTCTCCAAAGGCCCAGAATTCCTTCTTCCTTCACGATCCGTGAAATGGCATTTAATATGCCCGTGTAGTTGCGTCGCGCCTCAGGCGGAAGAGTTGCGTCGGCCTGTGTGAACGCTCACAGCATACGGCGGTGTCAGTAGCCCGTAGAACACTGCGTACAGTGTTGTAGATAGTGATCAGGCATCGGGGGGCAGTAGCTGACGATGTGCCACGAAGGTGAGAAGGTGCTGCCTACCTGCATGCGGATGAGGGAGAGGTCTGCTGGGTTTCCAAAGGCAGCTGCAACTCCACCTGCAGCGAGGCCAGCTGCAGCCTTTTTCCATAGAGGTAGAGGCGGAGGCGGGGCGGTTGGGTCTGCACTCCTTGACATGTCCTTCAGCCGGTCGCTGAAGACTCGGAACAGCCCAAGACGGGCGGTAGAGTACGTCAGCTGAGTTTCAGCAGCACCGCATACCAGTGTTGCCGTGCATGAACAAAGGCCCCCACGATGCAGCTCCCAGGCAGTGTATACCGTTACCTCTCCCCCTCTGATCACCCCTAGGTGAGTAGTACGTGCTACGAGACGTTTAATTTCTCCGGCGTTCTTACTTACACTCCTCGATAGGTTGATTGGGTTCTCTGGGTTGAGTGCGTTCAGGTTTGTGTATTCTGCGTACCTGACGTGTGATGCCGGCGTCTAGGCCCTTATAAAGGGCACAAACACCTTCGTTTTTGAGGACGTTCTTGAGGACCTGAATAGGACTGGTGGATGCCTTGGCGCCGCCCTCGCCGACAAGCTGCAGACGAACCTTCACCATATCAACGGGCTGAATACAGCAGGTGGCTATACACCCGGAGAGGCCTCCGACGATGAAGGGTTTCGCCTTAGAAAAGGCTGAAGGCGGCGGCTTCGCCGCGGGTATTCCCCGCGGCTGCTGCTCTGTTGTGGGCGTTGCAGAGCTCATTGAGCTCGTTGAGCTCATACAGTGAGAGAGAAGAATAGAGGAAGAGGCAACGCAACGCAGCAAAATATAAAAAAGAAGAAAGCGAGCGCAGCGCTGCCGACGCCTCTTTTTCTTTTCGAACACAAGTTGAATGACTACAGCCAGCAGCAGACGCCACTCACCTTGCATGCGCTCGAGAGAGCGGCGAAATACCACCCCGCAGAGCATAGTAAACAGTTTATATGAGAGAGTTTGAGTAAACACATTAAAAATTAATTCTTATTTGTTTATTTATTTATTAAATTTAAATATTAAAATGCTATAAAGAAGGGGGAGAATCAACAGGCTGCATCTCTCTCCCTGCTGCTTGCTGCTCTCTGCCTGTGTTGCTGTGTTTCCACCCGGTCGATGCGGTCGTCGTCGGTGTTTGTTTGTTTCTTCTTGGCTTTGCCTTTTGTTTTTTTTTTTGTTTCTTTTTTTTGAATTTCTTCAAATACTGCAGCATTTGATGCTACACAAACAAACCCTCCTCACCCAGCTGCCGCCTCTCTCACCCCACCACCGCCTGCGGTGGTGTAGTATACACGCACAGACAGACAGCAGAAACATATAACCCTATACACCTGAAACCGAGAGCTTACTGCCCCCCTGCATGTTGCTGCGGGGTTTCAGTTGAAGTTCGTTTCGTTTCGTTCTGTGTTTCGGGATTACACGCCAAGCAGCCACCTCTGCACGTCTCCATCAGGCGTAAGCAGCAAACACTCGCTCTGTGTACCTCTCTCTCTCTCTCTCTCTCTCCCCATCTCTCTCTCTTTCTCTCTCTTTCTCTTTCTCTTTCTCTCTTTCTTTCTTTTTCTCTTTCTCTTTCTTTCTTTAATTCTCCCCTCCATCTCTCTTTC